CTAAAAAATGCGAGTGCAATTGATAATTTAATGCTTATTTTAATTACTGAAATGTAAATTTACTAAGCAAACATTTATTTTAATGAATAATTAGGTAAAATTATAAATTGTGGGTTAGACTAAAATGCTTTTCGGTAGACAAGACTACTGTTGGTTGGACGTTTGATGTTGATCCTTGGTTGATGTTAGCTTGGTGGCTTGACTGGACAGCACTGAACTGATGATTAGTTTGCCTCTAAACCAAGGGCTTTAAAGGCTGTGGTTGTGGTAAACAGAATTCTGGTCTCCACTCAAGTCAACCTGCAAAAACCACTTCTACTTGAGCTGCCATTGAGGGAAATGTTTATTTGTACCCCAAAAAAGTGGAATTATGGAAAAATGTATGATCACAATCCTATTTGACCAAAATTTGAATCACTGTCATTCACACTTATGGCAAAAATATATATTCTATTTAATTATCCATGAATGTGATATTTTCCTTTTTTGTTTCTTGTTGAACCTTCCCCTAAGATACCTGAATAAATATATACTATTAAAATATTGCAAATTTAATTATTGAATATAGAATAAACTGACTATAAATTAAGTATGTTTATGACATAAATATTAGATATCTAAATGAAATAAAGATTTCAAGAACATGGAAGACTGATCCATTACAGCTCATCACATGCAACGTAAATGCTAATAATACTGTACTGCTGTTGTAATATAGAATTAATCTTTTATTTCATGACCAATGACTTTGTCTTTTTTGTTTCTGTATTAATTGGTCGTAAGACACTCTCTGTTCGAACTTTATGTGGTTAAAGGCGTCTGTTGTGTTGCTGCATGGTGCTAATGTCACACCAGTGAACTTTCTTGCTGACTAATTGCTGCTGTCCTCCCTGTCTTCTATATCCTCCTGCCTCTCCTCTCCCATTCCTTCCTACAACAGTGGATGATGCGTTTGCATAAATCATTTAGGATTGCACTCTGCATTTGTATTCTTATATTGACATTCATATAAGAATACAAATGAGTGCAATATGACAAAAATTAACAATAGTTAACCATAGGTTTATAGTTTTAGTGAATACTTGGAATCACAGTTGTAATCAAAACTTGGTTGATTGCACAGTCCCATATAGAACTTTCATTGTATAACTTGTGCAGCTCAATAACTTATGTGTATGTGTCTTCTTTTGTCAACTATCTGGAGAACTAAGATGTATGAGAACCAGCTGCTAGGTCCTTCTCTAAACTCAGTCCGTACCGAGCCTCCTCATTTCAACCTTTTATGGATATGCTTCTCATAACAACCGGGACATCTGATCCAAAAGAACATTACAATGATTAAGTATTTCATGAGAGCTAATTGTGTTTATGAACTTAAGCCTATAGAAAAATAGATCTTTGGGGCATCTTCTGATGTATTTGTATGTATGTATTTCGTATTTGTATTGTGGTGGTGTAAATGCATTTTCAGGTAGAAGTTCTTTATGTACAACTGTGGCAAGTGTTCTGAGACAGCAAGGCAGACTCATTTATTTATTTGCGTTTCATTTATTAATGTGTACTAAAACAGAACAAAATTGTTCTCTTTATTTTAGAACTTTTATGGTTTTATTCTCATACACTTAGACATAAAACCCTGTTAAAACTCAACATTTTTGATGTGCAGGTCTAATTGGATAAATGCACAATAAAATGATCACTGGGAGTCGATGAGAAGTGGACTGGCATTAAGAATGCATTATGGTTGAATGAACTGTTTAAGAAGTGAAACCACTTTTTGTTCAATGAACTATTAAAACTGCGCTTGAACATCATTTTCTTGTTGATTCTATACAGCATTTTTTTTCAATGACAAACTGCTGCATTGACTGGTGGTTCCTGAAGGTTCTTTATAAGGCACTGTAAAACCATCTCACTTGGCCAAAGTGCTATACACAAACATGACAATATGAAAATGAATAAGGCATGAAAAGACAAAATAGAATTATATAAAAAAAGCCAGCAATAACCACAAAAAGAGACAGAATGAAGAATGAAAACACCAATGAAAGTCAATCATGCAAGATAACGAACGGAGTTAAAAGCCAGTAAAAAGAAATGGGGATTTAAAAACAGGAAGTTAGTCCTCCTGACTTATGTGCACAGGCAACATATTCCACATTTGTGTGGACAAAGGCGGTATTATAGATTAATGACCATAAACCTCTATATACAGTATCTAAAAAGTTCTCTAGGTGAGTGCCCTTTAAGTTTCTGAAATATCTCTAGTCATCACATCCCCATGCAGGGCATGCTATTTCAATAGTGCTTATCTATTATATATAACACAAGTTTTGTAGAATTACAGATTTGGACAGTGATCACACTTAAGGTAGGCTACTGATGTCTGTGCATTTGTGTGAGAGTTTCTGTCAGAAATAAACATATACCTTGAGAATAATGTCATTTTACAGAAAGGCCAGATTACAGGTAAATTACCTATGTCGATTTTTTTTGCTGAAATACAGATGTTCTTCCTCTAAAAAAATCACGATGTCATCTGTAATGATAACCTTTACTCTCTTTACTCCAACTTCTCTTCTTCTTTCTTTTTCTGTTTTGTACTTTTATTTTTGATCAACTTCAGCCTTGAAGCCCTGTAAACTGAATACACTGATTTAAATGTTTTCTTTAGGAAACTTGTTTTTTACTTTCTGTGTAATGTTGAAATCAGGCAGAGGTATTTCCTTTAGGAGGCCCCTCATACCTGCACACCAGCCCACTTCCTCTGCCAGTTTGTCGCAGAGCTTTTCACCCTGTAGGGAACTGGCTTTAAAACAACATGTTTCACTGTCATTATTCAACAAACTGAGAAAGTAAATCTACTGTATTAACAAGTATGACTTTAAGTGCTGGGATGGTAGAAAAAGTGGACAGATGGATAGACCCAAACCCGAGTTTAAGAGTAATGGTAATAGAGGATTCCAAAAAATATATTTTTTAGTCTTGATGCAATAGTCAAAAATGTATATGTAATGTATCAAAACGAAAAATTATATTAAGAAGATTAAATAAAGACTGTAAATAATAGTATTTAAAAGGTATTCTCATAGTTGTTTATGATCTTAATAGTTGGGCCAGTTGGAAAAGTGTGCAGCCAATGAAATGGAATGGTCCAAAAATTAAACTATTCAAATTAATGTCTTTAGATTTCAAATGAAAGATTTAGTGTGTTCTTGTTCAATTCATTTAGCTTTTGAACTTGAAAGCAGCAGCTCTGATGTTTGCTTTAACAATCTGTAATATGCTTCAGTATTCTGAGCTTGTATGGAGCAGCTGCGTCTATGACCTACTTCAGACTAAACCTCTGTTTAATGTGTCTAACCAAAGTTGCATGACAACACACACATTGAAAATGATTAGTGGCAAAAATCTGTTGGTCTGAAAATAGATGTGAGCTTGCTTGTGTGCATGTGCATGTGAGATTCTGCACTAGGTGTGCAAGCTTTTTTTCCTCACTGGTCCAGAACTCGGCACCAACACGTTAGCCGTTACTGAACCTTTGAAGGCTGGAAAAATGCTGCTGCAGAAAAATAGGAATTGTTCCACTCTGATTTTACAGTTCAGTACCTATTTCTCAAAAAAAGTCACGATTAAAACTAATGATAAGTAATGATAAGTAATGATTTAAAAAAATCCTCTATATACAGTATTGGGCAATATACATAATAAAAACACTGAAATACACACTTAATGTAAATAAAACACCCTGTAATTAACATTAAACACACAAGAACAATAGGCTGTAGATTACTGTTCCCTAATTTGTCACGTGATTAGAATGCAGTATTCCAATTTCAGCTCAACAGACAAGGTCATGGACTGCCTTAATCACACAGATGATTTGTGACTTCAGGTCTGATATTTTTACTGTCTTCAGCTAAAGGTGATGTCTCATTGTCCCATGCATGCAGTAACTGTTGCTGTGTTTGAGCACAAGTTAAGTGGGGAGTGGGGTCCTTAATAATAATAATAATATTCCTGTCTGCAAAGGATTATTGGAGAAAATGTTTAGGAACCACTGTCTGAAAGGATGTAAACTTTAACAACCAAGTTTGAACAAAAGATCATACGTTTAATATAAAAAGTGTTTCAATTACATATAGATGACACTTTATTAAGATGAATATGTGCATAAGAGTTTAAACTGTTCAGACCTGTTGAGCATATGCTATATTCCCCATTGCAAGTAATGAACTGCAGTGTACAAGTCTCGGTCCTTGTATCAGGTTTTGTGGTGAACATGAGGTGATATAATGTTTTCTTGCTCACTTGTGTCCTTAGCTTTTTTCAAATCCATCCTCTTAATGCTGCTGTGGAAAATCAACCTCTGTTCTGATAACATTTGTAACAATAGATGTCACAGTCAGCTTAAATATTTTTTTTCCTGGAAACACAAATATGATCTGCAACTTCTTTTTTTCAATGTTGCCATTTCAGTTGTCCAAGATAGTTGATGTTTTTCTGATGACCTTAGACAACTTGTTGGGGATGTGGGGGGTACGATATTATAACACATTTCTTCTATATGAAACTAATGTTTCACTTCCTGCTTCAGATTGACTGTCTTGCATAATATTCACACAATTGGCCTCCATTAATGAGGCTAGACTTCTCTCAAACACAGACACAGGGTATTGACAACAAGTACTAGCATTAAGGATGGACCATTACTTACATCATTGGAATGTTTCATGATTTTGTTCAATAAACCTAAGCAGCAACTTTTCTCTTCCCCGTAAGCTAAAAACATGTTTCACTGTAGAATTTGTTTGGTAAAGTAAAACGCTAAACAAACTGAAAATCTTATCTTAATTACCTTACTTTTATTTAACAGGAAGTAACTTCTTTATCATTCCAAAAGTTGCTTGAGATGCTTTTTCACAGGTTGTGGTTAGGATAAGGCATCTGTGTAAATGATGTAAATCTAATGTTTGGATATTGTGTGTGTTTTTCTGCAGGTGGATTCTCGGTGGTGTTTCTGGCGCGTGCTCACAGCGGCGTCCGCTGCGCTCTCAAAAGAATGTACGTCAACAATGTGACCGACCTAAACATCTATAAGAGGGAGATCACTATCATGGTGAGGTCAAAGTCACAATGTAAACATCCTTATTTCACTTTCGGCTGTATTAAAATAAGATTGTGTGTAACTTAAATCTATTCCATTGACAAATTTACATTTAACCAGGTTTTAAAATCGAGATTTGTTTGGCTGACATTTAAATCAGGTCATTTCATTTCATGAGTATTGGTAATGTGTACGGGAAGTTCACAAATTTAAATACTGCCACTTTGTACCGGTTTTTAAATAGAGAAATCAGATCAGGATTTGATTTAAATTTTATCTGCCTTTTGTCCAGCTTTTTGGCTGCTTTTATGTTTATTCAGGGTGATTTTGCACAGGCTTTCCTGGTTGGCATTTGAACATATAACTGTTTTTAATGGACTTTGCATATGTTGTTAAGAAGATAGCACATTAATCTGAATTAGGTCAGTTCCTCCTCACCTGTCCTGTTTCCCAGCATTCCTCTTCACACATTATCCTTAATTGTTTTCATTGGTTTTGTTGTTGGTGACAGTGTGTTATACATTCGCACCAGCTTCATTACATACACACCTACAGAGAGAGAGAGAGAGAGAGAGAGCAAGAGCGAGAGTGAGAGAGAATCTGATAATCACCGGTGTCTGTGACAGCTCACTGCACTCAGTCTGCTGGGTCTACTGAGTTTGTGGGTTACTGGTATATAACTGATGACAGATTGTAATGTGTTGATGTGCAGATTCTCTGTGTATGCTTAAGAAATGGAGTAAAAAAATAGAATCCTTACGACCTGAATTGGGAACTTGGTCATAGTAATAATCTTTTCTATTATTTATTACACCATAAGAGAGACATTTGTAAAGCTCCTGGTCCACTGCAAATATGTGATAATGTTTTATACCATAGGTAACATCTGAGATTCTGACTGTTTGTTTTTCTTATATCTTTCTCTTTATCCTCCTCTGCAGAAGGAGTTGTCTGGACATAAGAACATCGTGGGATACTTGGACTCCACCATCAGTGCGGTGTCAGACAGTGTGTGGGAGGTTCTGATCCTTATGGAATATTGTAAAGGCAAGGACTTTGTCTGGAAAAATGTATTTCTTCTGCTTGTGAACTGTGTTTACCATGTCTCACTCGAAAAAGAAGATTGCAATATTTTGCCTTCACCTTGTTAAAATAACGTCAAAAACAGCCAAAATAAAGAGGTAGCTAAAAACAACACAAAAATAAATTTAAACTGATTAAGTGATAGATTACACAGGTCAAGATCATAGCTGAAGTTTACCCTGAGAGTGACTTAATGTTTTTAATTTTTTTAAGAAAATGCAAACAACTTGTCAAAAATAAGTAAAGAATAAATTAAAGTCAAACATTAACAATATAGCTAATATGTAGCCTTACAACAAGTAATAATCACCTAGTAGCAGTTTTAGTATAACTAAAAAGGGCAAAGATGGAAAAACAAACTTTTAAAAATGTATTTATGCCAATGTAATATCAAGCTCACTGTTCATTTCTTCTCTGTCGTTAATATTTAGCTGGACAGGTGGTGAAGCAAATGAACCAGAGGTTGAACGTTGGCTTCAGCGAGTCCGAGGTTCTCCACATCTTTTGTGACACTTGTGAAGCAGTGGCTCGTCTACACCAGTGCAAAACGCCCATCATCCACAGAGACCTGAAGGTTATTATGTCATTTGAGCTTTTTAAAAACAAGTCCTACAAAAGATTTTGTTTAATAAATCTTTTAAAAAACAGCCAATGATGATTTAGAAATGTGACGACTGCTCTTTTTATGGAAGTAAGACTTTTTTATCAGAAACTAAAGTTTGTAAACCTTTTATCTCTACCAAACCAAAGTCAATATAGAAAATCATTGATTTTAACTCAGAGGGCTACAGCAGCTGTACATCCACTGATGGCTTCATAACTAATTCTTACTAACAGATTCATCTCACTGTCATAACCTCAACCTGCACCCTCAGTCTCAGCAGTCAGTCTGCAAGTGTGGATCCTGAACAATTCCCAAGTCTATCACAGTGCCTGAAATAAAGACACAAAAAACACAAATTCAATGTAGAGTTAATGGTTAACCCAACACTGCAGGTCAAACCCACCCCGACTTTATAAGGAATGTTTCTAACACAGGAGCACTACCTAGTCTCTACCTTGTGGCACACATCAGTCCCTGTGAGTCTAAATCACTTTGAGTCCTCTTCTGTGCCCTTAAAGAGCTTTCTCTGTGTTAGAGCATGGTTCAACCAGTCTAAAACGTTTGTTTCAGTTTTGAGTCAGACAATGTTTATAGAGTAGAATCATCTGCTTTTACATGTAGTTAGTTTCACTTCTCTCTCTGCTTCCACTTCGTCCTGTCTTTGCTCTATCTTTACCATACTTTTGTTGCACGTCTGTCTTTCTCTCACTGCTTTTGTATGTACCTCTGCCTCTTTCTGTCTCTGTCTCTCTGCTTGTCTCTCCTTCTGTTCCTCTTTCTCTGTGTGTCTTTTCAGCCTCCTGATTATGTAAGATCTCAGGGACAAAGATCATGAGGCCCAGTCAGTTCCACGTCGGTGTCCATAAAAAGTCCCCTAACCCTGAGCTGTCAAGAGCAGAGTTTGTGTTTTTCACGTCACCTTAGTTCTTTCCAAGACATTAATACAAGTCGCCTCGGTCTACATATACAAACTGTCTTTTTTTTTATTTCACTCGTTTACACCTTTCGCTCATTTTAGCTTCTTTGTATGTGTATGTGTGTGTGTGTGTGTGTGCGTGTGTGTGTGTGCGTGTGTGTGTGTGTGTGTGTGTGTGAGAGAGGGAGATCTTGGTATAACTATACTTGTAGGGACATGTATCTGGAAAACCGTTTTTCTTCTATGAACATTTTTTTCAATCCTCACTGAAGGGAAGGGTATTTTTGAGATCCAAGATTTTGTTTGTAGTTAGTGGGATTAGGATTAGGGTTTGATTTAGGTTAGTTTACAGATTAAGATGAGATATATTTGTAACAGTTGAGGGAGGGTAATTGCTAAGGAAATGCAATATGTCTTTGTGTTGACAATAATGGTGTGTGTGTGTGCCTTCACCAAATATTTAGGTTAATTTTATTGTTGATCCACATTCAGGGTGCATTTTGTAGACGTCAGAAGACAAAGAGCTTATTTTAAAAACAGTTTTGTTCATAGCTACTAGAAATGTCTGTAATTAAATAAAAAAGAAGTCTGAACATTTTGATTCAGGATTCTATTTTCTGTAGGTTTTCATTTTCAGCTCTTTGTTTTTTTTACTCTATCGTAGGTTGAAAACATACTGCTGAATGATCAAGGAAACTATGTCCTCTGTGACTTTGGCAGTGCCACTCACAAAGTTCTACTGCCACATAAAGACGGAGTCACTGCGGTGGAAGATGAGATCAAGAAGTAAGTTTCACACATTTCACCATAACAGAAAATATTAAAATATTATATCATGATTTTTTTAAATTTGTTTTACCAGTTTAACTTAAATGTCAACTTTTATCCACATATTGAACTACTGTAATTTTCATGAAAAAAATAACACTCACTCAATAACACTCACACTCAGCATCGTCTTTCTTATGTATCTCAGGTACACGACTCTGTCGTATCGAGCTCCAGAGATGATCAACCTGTACGCAGGAAAAGCCATCACCACTAAAGCTGATATTTGGGTGAGTTATTGTGTTGTGCTCTGCAGGTCTGATTTGTTCTGCAGGTCCTTCTATCCACACATTCTCCAGCTTTGCTTCACTGCTTCCTCTTCCAATTGACTGGTTTTATAAATGTAATTCTGAGATATTTAATAGTTAGAGTTACCTCATTGGCACAAAGTGACCACAGTAGGCAGTAGTGCAGCAACACCTACATTAGCAAAAATCACAATGGACTTTTGTGTGGCAGAGTGATTTGTTTACGCCGTTATTTTATTTTTTAGAAAAATCTGCTTTTTGGCCTCAGCTGCTAAATAAAAATATAACATAGTATAGCTTTTTTTTTAAGGTTAAAAATCTGACATGTTGTGTAAGACTTTTATTTTTACATTATTTTAACCCTGTTGTTTATTGAACCTTTATTGTCTTACTCCTCAGGCTCTAGGTTGCTTGTTGTACAAGCTGTGTTTCTTCACCCTTCCATTTGGGGAGAGCCAGGTGGCCATATGTGATGGAACCTTTATTGTTCCTGATAATTCCAAATTCTCCTTCAAGTTGCACTGTTTAATAAGTAAGTCTCATTTTCCATAATTTGCTGATTCATTCATTTATGAGTCAGTGAGAATAACCCACAGATACAATCAGACTTTATTACCTGTTCCATTATTTACTAGTTCTTGTGTCCCTGGGCACGAGTACCCTGCTGTCATAGTTAAATTAACATCACCATCTAGTGGTCAAATTGAAAAGATGCACGTCAATGTTAAATAAACAACCCTTTAACTGTGATTTTTTCTTAGGATACATGCTCGAACCAGATCAAGAGAAAAGACCAGATATTTACCAGGTTTCCTACTTTGCCTTCAAGTTGGCCGGAAGAGATTGCCCTGTGCCAAACCTCTGTGTGAGTCTCTGGCCATATTCCAAGCAAATCAATTTTTATTATACACTAAAAATGATCTGATTTTGTTAAGCCTTACTGAGGCTTACTCCAGGAAATGTTTTGTTTTGTTTTAGAAGTTAAGAAATTACAACCATTGCCTTTTACACTATCTGTTTTTATTACTGTCCAGAACTCTCCAATCCCAACTTCTCTGCCAGAGCCTCTAACAGCTAGTGAAGTTGCTGCCAAGAAAAGTACCACCAAAGCCAGGTATTTAAATTATTTCCCTTTTTTTTCTTAAAAAAACAAAACAAAAAACAAACAGTAACAAAACATACAGATTCAAACAGCTACAATGAATAAATTCACCTATTTGCTTTAAAAACTGGTCATTCATTAAAACGTTTTTTGTGCAGGATAACTGACTCGGTGGGTCCAACAGAGACATCGATTGCTCCCAGACAGAGACCAAAGGCAGCCAATAGTAATGTCCTGCCGCTGCCCAACACCGTCACACCTGTGAAGATGACCGTGCCTTCAGCTCCCGTCAGCAACGGACAGAAAGGTTTGTCTGGACAACTTAATTTTTGGTATGCTCTCTTCAGGGTTTGCACTTCGGATACATACACTACATCATCTGCCTCCATCTCACTATCTCTTGACTACTTTTATGCTAACGTTCTACACTTCTCCTCTATCCATCCATCTTCTCTGAGATCCTTCTTTTCTCCTCCTGCCTGACAGCTTCTTCTCCCCTATTTCCCTTCAGCACAGTCCTCACTATCTAAATTTTGCACTCTAAATTGAAATGATTCAACCTCAGCTGTTGCTCTCATCTGCTTATTTTTAACCCTGTTTTTCCTGGCCACCACTGCTTAAAAAATATCAGCATCTTAATCTCTGTCAGCTTCAGCTCAGCCTGCAGTCTTTAGACAGCTGTCTTAAGTCAAAGTATCAATGAGTGAATGAATGTCATCCTTATATTCAGCACCAACTCCGGGCTCAGTGCAGCCATCTGTGCAGCCAAAGCCCAACAATCAGCAGCACCGAGTCCTGCAGCAGCTTCAGCCTGGAGACCTGCGCCTGCAACAGCTGCAACATCAACATCAACATCAACAAGCGCTACAACAGCAGCAACAACATGCAAATACACAGCAGCTCCAGTACTTGCAGGTATTTCCAATGTTTTGAAGACAAGGACCAATACATCTTAAATGGAATTTTGGTCGACTGCCCTGTCAGTGCCCTTGATCCTACAACCTATTTAAGATAGTTTAGCCTTTAGCTGCTATAAAAAAGACTATGCCAAGATTAAAGTCACTTTATGCTTATTATTGACAGACAGACTATAACAAAAAAACTTATCAAACCACTTACCATTGAAAGGCAGTGGTTTCAGACATAGCAACACAGGAGCTGCTGGTCTTACTGGCTCCTAAAATCCATTTGTGTCAGGGATGTAAATTTAACTACAGGGTTTTAAAAGTGAAGTCACAGCATAATACACCAACAGGCAGGAATGAGTACAAAAAATTGTGCAGTAAAATTGTAAAAGAAAGTCTTTCAATAATAGGGTCAATAAACTTTAACCACAGTGGAAACAAATACAGGCACAGACTGTTTTACTATTTAATTTTAATTGTCAAGTCAATCCTATTGTTAAAAATGTCTTATCTTTTTGTCTGTGTCCAGTATCAGCAGGCCATACAGCTACAGCAACAGCAGCAGCAGATAATGATGCAGCAGCCGATGTATCAGCAGCAGGTCGCACAGTACGCGGCCATGGTGAGTTCAGCTATCATGGGTCTAGACCCAGTACCAAAATCCGTCTGTGCTGCCGATAAACAAACATCCACCAGAGGGAATTATCTTCTAACTCAAAGCTCATGACTGTGTTTCAGAACAGAAGATTTTTATCCAAAACTGAAATAAATAGTTTGAGCAAACTAGGGTGAAACACATGGAGACGCAGCGTGAAACAAGACGGCACTGAGCCGTTCCTTTTTTTAAAAATGTCAGAATGGCCCAAAAACCCCCGCGCTCTTCAAAAGGTTGGCACCATCCATCATCTTACCATCGTCTGTGCCAAACACGATTGGAAGCAGACGCTCAAACTTCCTACTGACGGCGTCTAAACGCTTAAAAAAGTCGTATTTACACTGCAATGCAGTCACAGACACACAAATGGGTGCACGCTGCAGCCAGCACAACGCCATCTGTTTTTATTTCAGAGGCAATCTGGTCTGAGCGCAGCCACAAGGGGATGAAACAGAGGGAGGAACAGTCGACTCTCTCGACATATGAATCAGTTTAGATAGGGGGAGAGGGAGAGCGCCACCTACAACTCTGTCTGAATCCCTTGTCAAAACGCAGCAGTTGATTTGTTTGACCCTGACTGTGCCGATTTGATCAAGATGAGAAAGTTTTCAACCTTAATTTAGTTACAACATTTCAGATCAGTAAGATGATTTTATTTTTAGATTTAAATATGAAAAAAAAAAAAAATAGAAAAAAGGAACAAGATGTGCAGCGGCTCTTTAGCTTTTCTGAGCTCTTAATTATCTCTATGAAATTTGGTACACAGTTAAAAACACAAATTCTCCTCAGTCCCTTTTTCTTGTGAGCACCTACCAATACGTAAACACTGATAGCGGCTAAATAATTTGAATTTTGTTTCGTGCCACAGCTGAAGATGTGAGTTCTGATTTTTGCAACTCCTCCAGATTCTGTAGTTCATCTGTCCATCAAATGTTATCCTTTGCTGACTTTTGACCTTAAGAATACGTTAAAACCAGTCATTTTACTTTAATTGTTTATTTTTCTTCTTATTTTATCGTCCTCTGCTCCTTTCACTTCACCGTGTCCCCAGCTTTTCCAAATTTCAGAACTGGGTTCTAACAACATTTTCATCATCTTGTTGCCATCATTGTGTGCTTCATTAAAAATCTGTGGTGCCTCCCTCATTCCCGTCCCCACTCTTTTTCCCTTTCTGCCTTCCTAACAGCTGCACCAGTACCAGCAGGCTTTTGTCCAACAACAGCAACAGCAGCAGCTTCATCAACAACAAAAACAGCTTTATCATCATCATGAACAGCAGCAGCATCATGCCTCTCAACAGCCTCTCCCCTACATCTCCTCCCCACTCGGCTCCTATTTCAGCACCACCACACCCTCTGCTAGCCCTGGATCTGGACTTGGAACTGCTCAGATGAGTGGACTCTCACCTGTGGACCCTACATTCATTAACTCTAGGTAAAAATCTTATGCAGAACATTATTCATTAGATCATGAAAGAATGTTGAAAGAAGCAGTTTGTGACTTGGTGTGAAGGATATAATCCAGAATTCTAAAGAGAATGAACTCTCCTTGGAAATACCACTGGCAGTGTTTGGACATAAATACAGTATGTGTATGTGTAGTAATGCAATGCAGAAAAAATTGTTGTAGTCATGAATATTTTTTCACGTGTCCTAGGTCTATTCTTACTATGTATACATAACATACATCATTTGAAGCAAAGGAAAGCAGCAAAGTTGAAATGGAAAGGTTATAAGACAATATTGAGACACTGTTATGATTTAGAATTAGAAGTGAGTGGATCAAAGGGACAGTTAAGATTAAAAATATTTTGACATGGAGAGGAGACTTGAGATGGACATACGCTGAAGAGACGTCTTGGAGATATTGGATGAAGTTTTGGCAACACCTAAGTAGAAGCAATGATTTTAAAAAGTGTTTCATAAGTGAGGGAGATGTATTAAATGTAGATCAGATTTTTATCACTTTTCTCACTGTTTGAATTAATTTATGTAAATCTTACTAACTCATTCCTCATATGCCTAAATCTCTCAGCCGTCTGTCTCTCCCTTTGACTATAATCCCATGTTTATTTGATATTTGATTTCATCACATCCCCTCCCTCTGTCTGTAGCAGAAACCCTCTGGTGGCATCAGATGCCATCAGTCCTCCCTCTCAGAGCTGTGGACTCAGTAATCCTCCAGACATGTCAGGCTGGAACCCCTTTGGAGAAGACAACTTCTCTAAATTGACGGAGGAGGAGCTGATTGACCGGGAGTTTGACCTCCTAAGAGCCAGTAAGTGATAAATAAGCTTTTCTTAGGTAGATAATTGCTGCTCTCAGTTGGACACGTGACTGCAGTTTTAAAAACTTTCACACCACTAACCTGTGAATTTGGTTCTCATTTTTCACTGGAATTGTTGCTTTGATCAGGCAGTGGCTTTCCCGGTTTAACGTACTGTTCGAGAAGTCAAACAGCGACATCAGCATTCTTCAGATATTGTAGACTTAGGCTCTCGCTTACAAGTTGTCTTCGCTGCTTCCTTCTCCTCACAGAAAAACCAGCTGAGAGAACCATGAGTGTGGAAACCGACCAACCACTGCCTGCCCTATCTGCCACTAAGCCCCTCCCACCTGAGGACCTGTTTGGCTCTGTCCCTTTTGTGGCCAACACAGGCAAGTCTTAAAGAAGTCTCTACCCTGAAGACCCAACACTGTGGAGCCAGCTGCCCCTTCAACTCTTGTGTTTGCCCACAGGGGGCAGTGATACCCAGTGCTGAGGCCAATTTCAGTTTCCTTTGTTGCTCCACACACTCACCTTTCTTACTGTTTTTCCTTCTTGGCTTCTGTCATCAGTAACAGTACAATATTAACTACAATCATTTAAAGGTGCTTTTCTGTAAAAACAATAGGAACAATAGGTTTTTACTTAAACTCCACTCTTAGGTCATGTGAAGACTCATACGGTACAGATTTTTCATTTGTTTTTATTCCAGTGAAAAACCTGTGACGGTAACAAAGCTAAAGCAACACAGCCACAATTCTCAAAATTGCAAAACCTTCTGGTTCGGTACATTTAAAGTTAATAATGTATGGAGGCAAATTTATACAGGATGCTTACATTCAGATACTTCATTCAAATGTGCGCCCCTCTGACAAGTAGTGGAAATGTATTTTTTGTATTTAATCTTAAATATATCAACAAGTGTTTGCACTCAAGTTCTACGGTAAAGTAAGCAGTACTGTTTTTTTCTGGTTGTGTGAGGTACTGATGCACAGAATCATCCAAAATTCAGATTTTAGCCAAGGCTACCATCAACTCTCCAACACCATAGTCCAGGGAAGAGGTCTGTAGAGTTTCCTTTAGGCTTCACTGCCTCCACCATAACGATATTGGTTTCTTCAGTGTTTGAAATCCTTTGGTACGATTTACTTTGATGAAACTAACTTACCACACAAAGCCTTGTTGGACCAGCAGCTGCTGCGTTCTCCATGGAATTGTATCCAAATCTAAATGTTAACACTGAGCGCCAGCTCCTGTGTGCAGGGGGTTCTTGTCAACACGGGGCGCTAACAGTACAACGACTGTGCATCAGAACCTCAGTACACCGGTGTTTATTTTCTCTTTAAAAAAATAGTTGAGCTTCCAACATGGGTGTGGCTATTTGCTGTGATGTCACGTGCACTCCGGTGTAACCTGGTGAGCGTAAGCGTGCATGTTTTATCAGTGTGTGACTTTTAAGCTCAGTTAGTGGCAGCAATAAGCTTCTGTGCCTCTGTGCTCCTGCTTCTGCAGCATCAATCAATTACTGCTTCTAGTCAGCAGATTTGCTGAGACGAACGTTGCAAACAGTATGAACGCTAAAAAAAATTTGATAATTTCTAGAGCTTAAATTTCTTTTCTTCTTTTTCTACACTAAATTTATCGTATTGCAGGTGAAAATATAGGATGAAATATTAATCTCAAAGTGCTTGAATGTAACTCTGTTGTTTTCTCTTGAGATTTTTTGATGCAAAATCTGTTTGATTTAAGGGAAAAACCAAAACGTTTTTTTTTATTTACGTGATTAATCCTAAAAATTGCGATAAATACTAAATGTCATTATTGGATCAGCCCTAAGAGCTCCCTGTGTTTGTGCAGTCAGACTGGGTCAGGCTGACGTTTTAGTTTGACTTTTTGCTCTAAGAAATATCAATGCCTTTGCCATTTATGTTTTTTTAATTATTATTTACCAGCAGGA